GCTTCGGCCGTGGGCACTCGGCGCTGAACCACACAAACGTGGCCAAGCTTGCAGTTTTCACTATCTTGCCTTAGTTGCCTGTCTATGCTTTGTTTGTTTTGTGGACGGTTTATGATGATTCGCGGATGAAATGAGAGAGAGAATTTGGGGTTTTCAAACACACACACACACACACACACACACACACACACACACACACACACACACACACACACACACACATGAAAGGAAACAAACCCTTGTCCAATAACCACAATGTTATAAGTGTTGGAAATAGACACACATGAAAGGAAACACTACAAACGAAAATTGACATTTCAACTGTATCGAATGTAAATCGGCTTCCTTTCACACACACACACACACACACACACACACACACACACACACACACACACACACACACGCACACACACACACACACGTGGGTGTGTGTGCGTGTGTGTGCGTGTGTGTGCGCGTGTGTGTGTGCGTGTGTGTGTGTGTGTGTGTGTGTGTGGTTCAAGAGAAGTGACAGAACTCCAACAAAAGACCGCATATGAATGGCTTTCGAGCTTCATTACTACCTTTCTCCATTGACAGAGCAAAGATTGAGTTCACTGTCGTCCGACGACGCAAAGTAACCAACGTCATGTACCCGAAAACACAAGAAAATAAAAACGGCAACGAAAAAAAACAAAAAGCACGGCGAGAAAACCGAAACTTCCACCACCACCCCCAACAAAACCCCTTTCATAGCCCCCCGCGTTCCAGCCCTGCCCCCGGCACTCCCAAAACACCAGCGCAATGAAAGACACTACCATCTAAAGTCCCCCTTCGTTTCTTCCCCTCCCGTGCAAACGAAATTGCCGGCGTTGACACGTCATCATCCATCGTGTCCAAAAATGTCCTGGCGAAGACTGCGAAGGACGTGCCACGTCAGTAACCCTCGCATGTGTACAGCGGATTATGACCACCGACCGTGGTGAATGGCCACGAACAATGGAAGACCAGCCCTCGCCCGTCCATCAAAGCGAAGGCAATCAAACAATCGCCCCGTCGGGCGGTCCATCAGATGCTGACGTGGCATGCAAGAGTGCGGCGCATAACTTCGAAGACAAGTGCCCCGTCAACGGTCAGCAGTCTTCCACCCACCGAGACTTTGAACTGGCACAGGCATTCAATCGATCCACCGAGTTCGGTTCCGCCTTCCATTTCGATCACGTGGTGCATTGACACGTGGCGCACCGCCATCGCGGCTGCGTAAGCTCACAATCGAATCTCGCCATGGAGATAGTAACAGCTGCCGACAAGAGGGGGAACCATGAAAGTGTAATAAAATGCCCCCGTGTCGAGCCTACTCGCATGTTCCATGGCGAGGTTATCAACGAAGTTGGTGATGATGTCACTGACGATGTCCACTTCGAGATTTGCCCAATCATCAGGCACCACATCCCCTATCTTCTTCACCCATAACAGGACGTGTGACAACAACCGCTTGTTGAACCCCAGTGGGACCTCCAAATCAACGGCGGCCTTCCCGTCGACGTCCACGGAGTACAACCGGAATGAACGGCGAGTGATTTCGGGTCCGAAGGTGAGTTCCTGCGGGAAAAGGCCGTCCCATTCTCCTCGACGCTCCCAACACATGATCGCCTGCCCCCTCACAATTTCCCTCCATACCAGTTGCACCGCCATCTCTCTCTCTCTCTCTCTCTCTCTCTCTCTCTCTCTCTCTCTCTCTCTCTCTCTCTCTCTCTCTCCTAGATGTTGACCCTCGCACGTGCACCTCAAAGATTGAACCGTGGACCACTGTCACGAGCAGGGAAAGTGGCGTGGCTGCGGAACACATCGGTTGTCCACAGACATGCGGCCATATATAGCGGCGCACCGATGAAATCACTCCTCCATAATACATGGAGAGGTGTTTTTTTTGTCCTTTTTTGTTTTTTGATTCTTATTTTGTGTGTGTGTGTGTGTGTGTGTGTGTGTGTTTTCGCTTCAACTCATTGCATGTCCTATGCTGACAGCGACATCCACTTCAAGTCGCTTTGTGTCAAAATGTGCTTTTTTTTTTAACTTCTTTAATTTGATTTTTCATTTTGCATTGCGTAAGGACGAAACAGAACGGGGACTCCGTTCTCGGTTCTACAACGAACACCAAAAACAAAAACCTCGCCACCCCTGTACAAGGCATCAAGGACCAAGGCCCTGTCCACGCCTCCGACAGCTACGTGCAGGGGGGGGTTCTCTCCCCCCCCTCCTGCGATCTCGTGCCTCCTCCCGGTCCTCTGCCCGCCATCACTTCCACCAACATTTCCAATACAGAGTTTCCCTGCCGGATTGCCCCCGCAACATGGCCAATCTCCGTGGCCACATCCCCGATCCTTGCAACCACCATAACAGCCCCTTCAGCAGATGCTCGAGCCAGCGTTGAGGCGGCCCTGTCCAAACCATCGCAAAGTGAACGGGTCGACTCCTCCATGGCCGCAACCAAAGATGAAGACAAAGGTGCGGAATCTCCTCCACGGCTCCTGCCAGAGGACGTGCTACTGGTCTTCGCTGCGCTATCCGAAGCTTCCGTCCCTGTTCCTTCTGACTCAGCGTCGTTAGCTGTCGTACACCCGCCCGCTCTCAAATCCTCGGATGCCATGGTGTTCGACATGACGAATGCAGCCTTGGTACGAAACCACTCCATGGCATCCCACAACGGCTTCTCGAAAGTCATGCTGATGCCCAACTTCTTCCTTTCCTCGGTTGTAATCTCCCAATACATCGGCTTGCGAGATCCATCGCAGGCATCTCTGATCTCCTTCACCTTCTTTGTTAGCTCCGCCCATTTCTTCCAACAATCTTCCCCTGTGCGTGTGTACCCCTCCTCTTTCATTCGGTTCGCTATCCAGTCGTAGCGCCTGCCTTTGGTCATATGTTGGTGAGCACCTTCTGCGTCGGCCATGAGAGCATCATCCTCGCCGCTTATTTTCGCCAGAAGCACTCGCTCCTCCAACGTCCAGATGGTGTTTTTCTTCGCAGGTGGCGTTGGCTTCGGAGCCTTTCTCTTCTCACCACCACTGGCTGCACCTTGGGATGCAGCACTCCGTCCTTCGCCAGCTGTTGGCAACACAGAGCGGGGCCTTTGAAGTTGGTCCACAATGTGCTCCGCAATCCCCGGTTGCTGCTGCTCCTCCTCACGCCCCATGCTGGCCCCGCATGGTGGCCCTCCCGCCTTCCGGGTGCCCGCTGCACCCTCGCCTGCTCGGGATTGCTGTCTTCACCCACTATCGTTGTGCGTCCGCTGACTGGCGGAGAGAGTGGCGGCAGACCTTGCAGGCGATGCTGCGGGGTCTGCACAGAACGCTCGGGCCCACACCCCCATCTGGGTGACTCTGTCCATGCAGGTGCTCCCCGCATCCGAGGTTGTTACGCACATTACCCATATGTCGCACTTGAACCCTGCTGCGTGCCGTGCTCGTACACTGTCGTCGGGTACGCCCCCCGACCTCCGCCTGACGAAACATCCTGCATGGGCATGGCGAGAGAGGGTCGGTTGTTCGAAGCGTGCACACCGCCGTGTGTACGAGGCACGAAGGTGGGAGGAGGCTCATCAATGTACTGCCAGGACTGTGCAGATAGACTCGCCCTATATTCGCTGCCCTCGAACTGGGTGCCGCCAACATCCCCGATGTCCATGTTAGCTGGTTCTCCGATTTCTCCACACAGCTCCGATGTGAAAGTGCGGCTCTCCATACGTCGTGCTCCACACCCCGCACCTCGCATGAGCAATCACACACGGAGATTACGGGCGTCTCCACAGGACGACTACGAGAACTGCGGCTGCACACACTACCAGCAGCGCTAGCATAGCGAACACAAGAGCCGCACACACAACAAACACCCAGACGAGGACTCCTGTGACACTACCACATGGGCAACGTTGCTTCCCACCCAAAATGATGACAATAGGCACGTTGCCGCCGTCGTGCATTTCATGCACACATGCGGAATTTCGTGAGGGATACGGGACTGCCACTACCTTCACGCACTGTTCTCCCTCTTTCCTTCAAAGACCCCCTCCCTCCCGATCTTGCACAGGACTGACACAAATCTTTACCCGTGGAATCACTCGGAACACGACAGGAACGATGTTGGCATGTGTTTGTGACCACATTCTCCAAGCACCCGGTATGGAGGACGAACGGGAAGCATGCAGGACGGAGGACACATCTGCCGCAGGGGTGTGAGAACACCGTCGTGGAACCAACTCATAGTCACATCACCCCGCCGTGCGTCGTTCTCGGCGAGCGCCACACGGGACGGACCTAACATCGGACGGCCTCTCGATCTGCAGGAACCGCCGACCCAAACCACGCGCGTGGTCGCGAACCAACGACCACGCCTCACGACGACGGTGGAGGTACGCAACTCTTTGCATGGGAAGTGCTGTTTTGAGGACGGGCGGACATGCTCGGTCACCGGGCGATGGCAATGCGTGCATATGATCTCCATGCAGCCGTGCTCGTCACATTTGAGGTCAGGAACAACTTGTTCGTTCAGCCAACAGATGCAGGCCTACTGCATGCTGACGCCAATGGCACCGCGGGCGAACATGAATTAGAAATTTGAATTTTGAAATTTGGGCGGGCCATCCCGCACTTGCCGGAGCCTCCAGTGGGGGACCACAACTTCCTTCCGTCTTGTCGGACCAACCGGCCTGTACTGTGCAGTGGGTGACACGGTTCGGCTGGCCGAACATGTTCCAGGAACCAATGCTCGACAAGTCGCGGACAACCGAAAGTCCGGCCGCCCTCCGCAACCTTGGAAACCTTCGAGACATCACCGACCCCTACCCTCACTATGCTGCACAATTCCGCGGCAAAAAATGCTCCCGCGGAACTTTTCCAAGTTGGAAACCATGTGGAAATGCCAAATCCCGTTCTTCCACGCCGACCACTCCGGGGTGTAGGGTCCCGGAAAACCATTCCGCGAAAAAAAACGGGTCTTCCAGGCATTCCACGCACGGCTGTGGGGTACCGGAAAAGTTATGCGGCAAAATGTTTCCAGTCCGCAAAGCTGTGGGGTCCAACCCTCAGTCACATTTCGTTCCACTCAACCCTCGAGTCCGCCCTTGAAATGAGCGTGAACAGCTAGCGAGAAGTTCAACCAGGACAATGGCTTTAGAAAAAGGAGAATAAATGGGGGGGGAAAAAACCATCCGGGGGTTCTACACGTACCTCAAACCGCCTTGTGCCGCTCGCTTGCACACTTCTCAAGGGCAGCTCAAGTGTGGCCCGATAGGTCACTTGAAAAATCACCTCGTTTGCCTGGGCCGCGCTTGAGCCGCCCATGAGAGTTTCCCGCCCGTTTGATAATCCCGAAAACCTAGTGACGACCCGCCAGTGATTAGCAAAACTCAAGGACACCGTGGAACGATGTTGGGCAAGAAACCCTTGAGTTTCGAGTGCTGTGGAACGAGCCCCATAGGGTGCTGATTCTGGGCACCTGGGAGGCCCTGACACCTCAAATTGTGGAGGCGCCAAACGAAAACAAGACCTACCGCATGATTGAATTTAGGGGAAATTTGTCTGGCACCCCTGTAATTTCCATTATTTTGTGTTGCGCCCCTCCGATGGCCCACTTACCCTGTCGTGCCCCTCTAACCACGATTCAAA